CTGGCTGAAACCCTGGCCATCAGTAACCAGTTACTAACCAGCAGTTCCTTACGCCCTGACCTTCAAGTTCATTGCAAAGTCAGTTTGGAACAAAAACCATGTTCCATTTTGCACTCAGAGTAACACGTTTCTGGGCCAGCAGGCATTGCAACTAATAATGGGTGTTTTTCATGCTTCCTTTTCCTGGAAGAAATATACAGTTTGTTTTTTGAGGATTTTGTCATTGCTTCATCACTTTTTATAGTTTTTTTTTTAAATCCCATGTCTTTTCAAGTTTATTTTTTAATAGTTTTCCTCTTTCACCCTTGATAATTTGGGAGCATTTAACCTGGGCAAAGATGACAGAAATAAAGCCGAGAGACCGACTTTCTGATTACTCTGGAATTCATTTGTGAGCGTTTAAATAAATTTCACGTATTGCTCACCAGAAATGTCAGTATTTGCCTGTAAAATTAAGACTAAATGACAGCAGTGTTTGTTTTACTTAGGGAAAAAAATAGAATTTAACAGTGTTCGTGGCAAAGACTGATGACACAAATAACACCTATTCTATTTAAGACTATTTTTAAGAGTGTACACATAGGATGCTAAAAAAATCAAATGATTCTAGTCCAGTTAGATGTTTGCTCAGTTAAACAAAGAAAAAAACCTTACACAGTCACCCCACTCACTAGTAGGTGTTTCCACAGAACTGGATAAATGAGTGAGTCAGGCTTTGGACTGGTGGGCTCTGGAGAAATGGCCTTGGCTGTGGTTCTAGGGCCACCAAAGCCGCGAGACCCAGACGGTGCTTATCGGCAGACCCGTGTCACGGGTGTGCAGAGTTCATTTAAGGAGGCAGGAACGTCTCTGGGGACACTGACCCTTTGAAAACGCTTCAGTTTCTGTGATCAATTCGCCAGTTAAGGTGTCAGCTCATTTTCCTCCTTGGAAGTTGGTCAAGTTCTCTCTGTGTACATGATGTGCATCGTCCCCCCACCCAACATGCACCCCGGGGACAAGCTACCAGGTGACTCATGGACATCTGTGTTGCTGATGTGAACTTGGGTTGGCATCAGCTGACCTGACACCGATCCCAACTTTGAGGAGCGAATGAGTCAATTTGGGTCAATCTGTTAACTGCTCTGTAGCTGTTTTCTCTTTCTGTGAATGAAGACATACATGCTTACCCTGTGAAAGCAGCCCCGCAGGTAATGGAATGGTATCTAGGAAGCTCTAAAAAGGCAAAAACAAAAACAAAACACTGTCAGGGTATAATTCTACAGACAGTGAAAATACCATTAAAAATGAGGGGAAGATATTTATGTAACTTACCACGATGCTGTACACCTGAAACTAATATAAAATCATATCAAATGTCAACTGTAACTGGAAAAAAAAGTGTTAAAAATGAGAGGGGAAATAAAGACTTTTTAAGACACACAAGAGCTGAGACATTTGTCTGCAGCAGACCTGCCCTTCAAGAAATACCAGCCAAAGTTCTTCAGGCTGCATGGACATAGTACGTGAAGGAAAGTGGAATCCTTCCGAGGTGAAGGGTGAGAATGCTAACTGTGAGCAAATATAAAAGGCTTTTAGTTTGTTTTTAAATGTCCTTAAAAGATAATTAATGATCTAAAGCAAAGTTTAATACTACAGGTGGGTTTAATGTGTATGTTGAAATAAAAATAGCACAAGACAGGGTGGGTACATACCGTTGGCACGTCTTACAGTAAACATGGCTTTACTATTATCTGAAGATGTTACAGGTGCATTAGAAGCACTGGAATAACTGCTACAAAGTGTTTTTAATTAAAAAGAGGTATATCTAAGAATTCTACGGTAGCGATAAATAAGACTCTACAAAGTGGATTTTTATTTTGTACATAGATGCAAAACGTTTACCTTTATTTAGCTTATATATATCATTATAATTATATATCTTATCATTTTAATGCACATAATAAGATGCCCAAACCTGACCATCAGAATCTTCCTGAGATTTCTATGGAGGATAAAGGCATGTGGTGACTTCATTGAAGAATCAAATATGTATGAATTATGACTTCTTAAATTTGCTGACTGGCTTCTTAGAAAGGCCAAGTTTAGTATTATGCATTATGCCCTTCCTAAGCGTAGAGCTGTGGTCAGCCCGGGCCTGTCTCCCCATTCCCCCACAAGGCCCTCCCCACCCTCACCTTACCCATTATGACATCACACCCAGCGTGGGGGTGGGTCCTTGTTTCCATGGCAACCACCAATCAGGCAAATCCTGCTCTCTTTCCCTCAGACTGACTGAGGGACCCCAAACAGAGAGAGCCAAGGACACCTTCTCTCCTGGCCATCGGACTGACTCAGAGACAAGACCATCAATACCCATGCCTGTCTTTACGCTGGAAACTCCTGGACATAAGGGGTCAGGTGGGACACCGGGATGCGGGACATGAAGGTCACAGAAACCAAGGGAATTGCANATGTGACTTGCGTAGTTCAGGAAATCAGGCTCCAATCCTTGATGCCCCTTTGTCCACGGGGAAAAAGACATCGTTTACTCCCCTCGTCCGAGGCGAAGCAGAAAGGCTAGGGGCAGAAAACGGGGTTGAGTAAAATAAACCATCGCTGCGTTTCTTATTTGTATTTCTGAATGGGTTTTAGGAATATTAGAAGTGGTTCTGTCCACTCAATGAAAAGGATAGCTGTCATGCTATTTGGTGACAAATGACCACCACACATGACACTTCGTCTAGAATGATTTCTCCTCCTATCCTGGAAAGAAGTACGGGTCTACTCAAAGCCCTGAGACTTAGGTGGGAAGTGAGCAGACACTGTTTGGCCAAGGGGATTCGGAGTAAAGCACTATGGCCTCATGCTTCTCAAGGCCACCACTGGAGGCCCCTCAGGTTGACAAGAAAGTCAGGGAAAGGCTGTCCTTGCTGGCAACCCTCCCATGACTGTCAGCCTCTGGGGAGAACCAGAGATGGGTAACTACAGCACGTGTTTCAAAATTCCAGTTTGGGAAGTGCAGGTGGAAGGAACGGGTCTTCCCCCAGCTGGCAAGTGACCGGTGGTCTCTCGCACCCAGAGGCCATCGGGTTAGAATTCAGTCCTTATTCCTGATAAGTGAAACGCGCGTTGCCCACCGAGGAGGGTGGTACTCACACGAGGGTCGGTCCCACATGGGCTTCACCTTCCTCACCACCTGCTCCGTCTGCTCTCAGCTGCTCAGGCGTCCATCTAGCCGAAAATACAATACAAACCAGTGTCAAGGTCAGTTCTCTGCCCACCTGGCCCTACTCGCCACATCACTGGCCCCACCCCCTGCTCCATTCTGTGAAGTGGGGCCAACTTTGAAAAGTAACAGTTCAGGGAATCACTTGTTTCTTTTTTGAGGTGTGAACCTACTTTGCCCATGAAAGCATTACCTCAGTCACATTGTCACACTGTGTGCTCGCCGACTAAGTTCATTATCCCAGAAACTGAACATGAACACGAGAAGAACCTTTATCATGGCTGCTAAACTCCGCCCCCCAGGGCTGGACTTAACAGGTTTTATGCTTCCCACCAACCAGGAGTGACACCACAAACCTTTTTCACTGTGTTTCTGGAAAACGTGAGATACTGTCCACGAGGTGCTTTGCGTCTGGCTCTTCCTATGTTACTATGAATTTGTTCATCTAAGATACGGATAATACTGAGATGGTGTCACAGAGAACTGCATGTTTCACCCTTCACGTCAGTGTACGTATTCTAGGAGACCACAAGAGCTCAGAATGCTTCATTCTTAAGATAACACCCATGAGGAGACACACATCAGGGCACAACAGCAGAAACAAGCAGTATACGAAGGTGGGACAATTAAGTTCATGAACTTTCCACCATGTACTTACTCAGTGGGAAGTTCGTGAACTTAATTGTCCCACCTTTGCACATTTCCTGGTGTATAAAGAAAGAAGATTTTCCAACAGCAGGTATATCTTCCTACGCCTGCAAGTTTTATTCCTGCTCCGAGTCCTCACCTGGGTCAGTTGGAAGCCTCCCTAGGACGCCTGGAGAATGGGAACTGCTAAGCGACTTTGCACACTTCCCCAGGTGCAAACGCTTTAAACACTCAAAGCCAGCACCCTCGGGGCTATTGTTTTGTACAAGAACCTGGAGATTTGTGTTCCTGTCTTTCATTTCAGGAACCGTAAATCTTGAGCGAGTTAAAAATGCTGGTGTGGAGATTTCATGAGCGGCGGCGTGCCTGGGTCTGTTTGCTCCATCAGACATCTGTAGGCTGTAGCTCACCAAGGTATGTATTCAAGGAGTGTTACAAGTCACACTTGTGACAGCAGTTTCCTCTAGGATAACTCAGTGAAACGACAACATATGTGGCTCCTGGCCACTCCAGATGGCCTCAGGTTCAACGTTCTGCAAGCACCTCAGTGTGAACTCAAGTGTGCATGTACTATTCCTGTCCATTTTAGCAAAACATCTCTGTTTTCTATCACTCATAACCTCGGTTAAAAAATGTGTTTTTGGGAAAAACCACATGCATTGTCAATGTTTATGCTATTAATATAAATTATATCAGTTTACCTACCTTGGCACGGTAAGAACGTCTAGAAAACAATTTAGTTTTTCTAAAAATGAAATTTTCCTTTAGCAGCAATTGAAAGAGAGAGGATAAGTGATTCACCCTCAATTTGGGAGATTATATCCAAATAAGAAAATCTGAATAAAACAGAATGGGAAACAAAAACAAAAGTTTCATTTGTTGTATCAACACTTCCAAAGTGTTTCAAGAGCCTCATTCAGGAATTCTATAAAACTCTGTGGTGACATTTCATCGGATAAATAAATCCCTTCTCTTTTTGACTTCAGATAGTGACATAAACCTAAATATTTCCAGTTAAGACCAGCTTCTTCATTTAAACTCTACAACAGCAAGGGTACATGAAAAAATGTCTGTCTGCTGCTGATTTTCAGAATAATCATGCCCCAAAACATCTCGTTCGAAGTTGGCCTCTTATTTGCAAGCATATGCAATGTACCCTCTTTTAATTTTTTTGAAATACTATCTGATGCTTTTTCCTTCTTTCTTTTTCTGCAGCCTTTGGGCTGAAGCTTACGGCCCCACAAAAGGATGAGCACAAAACACCCTACAAAGATCAGAGTCAAATTCGTGGCTCAAATTCGAGGGGCAACATAGAAAGAACTCTCTTTCAGTTTAGGGCAGAAATATTGGTCTCGAAAGCAAAGCATTTCTCCCAAGAAACTGGTGCTTCAGAAATTTTTTTTTTTAATTCCAAACGTTGCATTTAAATGTCGAGGCAAATCCCAGAGAACGCAAACATTAAGGTTGTGTCTTTCACCCCGGAGTGACAGTAATGCACCGTGAGATAAGCAGCCTCCCCACGTAAAGGGAGCTGAGAGTTTTAACAGAAAGGGGCAGGATGGATGGATGTCAGCGACCCTTACCTGTGGGTGGGCAGGTGAATGAATGTCTTTTCTCAGGAAGCAGAGGAGACGTCAAGATACATTTAGGCATCCGTTCCATTCCTCGCCTGGGACTCTTGCAAGAGGCCATCTCTTCCTCCAAAAGGAAAACCCTATGTGTAGGAAGCGGCTGTAGGAGAATAGGAATGGTGGTAAGAAAGAGGGATGGAGGCGGACGTCTGACTCTCTGACGCCCCACCGAGGTCTGGAACTTTTGGACAAGAGAGGTACGGGAGCTGCCAGGGCCAAGATGGCCCTCGCGAGTCAGCTGGAATGAACCACGGGTAAGCTCAGGGAAATGCAGACTTCCCCAAGAGAAAGACAGGAGACTGAAAACCCATTTCCCTCCAGGAAGTGAGAGCCTTGCATTGGCGCAATGGGGGTGTGAGGGCTAAGCTGCAGCCAGATACAGAGGAAAAGGAACCCGTGTGTGAGCTTGGACCTTCGATTCCACGGTCACAAGCTATGCACGATATCAACTGATCTCTCAAGAGTTAGTTTCCTCGCAGCCAAGCAGGGATACTATTGCACCTAAATTTTAAGGTCGTTGCTAGGATTTGATGCAATTACAAAGCAAATGACATGTAGCAAGAGCTCGATAAGTTGTCGTTAATATTATGACAGCTAACATTATACTTGTTAGAAAAATAAGCCTGTGATGTAGGTTATTCACTGTGATCACTCTGCCCGAACTTAAATAGATGAGGATAGTCTGTTCCCATCCTCTTTCTCTAAGAGCATACGGTTGCCATTACACCAAAACAACACGAAACACGGAACTACACGTTCCAACCCATTTCCGGGGCTGATGTTACCTGTAGAGCCATGATTTTGTAGTGGCAGCTGCAAAGGTCACGGGGATAGGTGGTCAGCCATTGCAAGTTACCCGTGGTTTCACAAATGAAGAAACCCCTGCAAGGCCCACTGTGTAAGAGAATGTGATGTGGGGTGAAAGCCAGGTGAGTTCTGTGGATCTCGTGAGAGCCATCTTTTCTAGCTGAGCGTGGAGCAGACTGAAGTGTCACGGGGCCATATGATTGGATGTTCCTGGGGAAGTATAGCCAGGACCAGCTGCAGACATGGTTTAAACAAAACGCACAGACGCAGTGGACTAAGTCACTTGTTCCGCTGTGGCCCATGGAGCAGCACGTCCACACCACCTGGGAGAGAAGCACATAGTCTCAGGCTCCAACTGGTCCTGGTGCATCAGCACCTGCGTTTGAGCATGACCCCCCCCCCAGGGGCCTGAGGGACACATTACAGTTAGACCCATCTCCAGGTGAAAATTCTAACATTTGCACTGCACAAAGCAGGGGACGTAATTCTGAGTAATGTCTTTTAGTATGGTCCGTTTTTATGTAGTATGACATGAATAGCGCAATTCCATATAATCAGAGGCACTGGTAAAAATGAACAACTTTAGAGAGAAAGGAGGAAGTAAAATTCTATGAAAAGTCCTGTGCATATCATGCAAAAGTGAAATCTATGCTCCACAAGCCTTTGTTTTTGTTTGAAATTATGATCTTGTTTCCAGAAATCGATAAAATGAAGGCCATGGTTCTGAGAGTAGAGTGCCAGTGCTGTTGTCCGATATCTCACTTTTTTACATATTTTTGTACTGTACACGTCCCTTTGTCACCGAACCTAGACACTAACGACTGAGTTATAACCTCCCTGAAAAACGGGGCCACCTTCCAGTTTAGGGTAATTAAAATGATTTGCCAATAAATAATTTCAGCTTCCGAAATATAAATTCTTTCCCACTTGTCTCAAGAGAGTTACTCTGGGGTGGTGACGCTGCGCTACCTAACACATCATCTGTTAAGATGTTCGGAAAGTGACGCTTAGAGAACCCACATCAGTGCATTCGATGCACTAGCGCCGTGGTATGCACAGGTCTCATTCTATGATACTTATGATAATGGCCAGTAATAGGCGATAGGTCACTTCCTATCGGGTGCTTAAAAATATGAAGCTTTCCATGTGAATTCAGCTTGTCCTTCTTTGCTTTCACGTTTATGACTTCTTATGCATTGTTTGTTGAATTCACTTAAATCCGGTAATGGGTGCTGATGTAGATTTCGGGCATTTGAACGCCTGTGGGAGAGCGTGGTGATGGTCACGGGCTTTGAGAGGAGACAGGGTTGCCAGGCTACCGCCCACCTTTATCCACCAGGATGGCCCCCATGAGCTCAGGTACTTGGAAGCCCCTGCCTGCTCCCAGGTGGCAGTGCTGGCTGAAACCCTGGCCATCAGTAACCAGTTACTAACCAGCAGTTCCTTACGCCCTGACCTTCAAGTTCATTGCAAAGTCAGTTTGGAACAAAAACCATGTTCCATTTTGCACTCAGAGTAACACGTTTCTGGGCCAGCAGGCATTGCAACTAATAATGGGTGTTTTTCATGCT